ATTAAGGCTTCCTTGCTGGTGGAAGAATGAGGGACCAGAGGGGAGGGAAAATCAGGTCCTGCGACCAATGCAGTGATTTTAGGTCTTTGCTTCCCATTGATACTGTGATCTCAGTGTAAGGCCTAAGAGACCGAGATGGGACATTTCCTTCTCTCCTGAACATTTTGAACAGGTCCGATGAACGTCTGAACGGCTGTCACCTAAAGTGTCCATCTTTGTGTTAAAGCCGTCCATTTCCTCTAGCTGACATCTGTCCAGTTTGTCATGAACTGCTCATTGTTGGGATTTCTAAGGGTTTGTGCAGCACTCTCTGCTATGGGTATCATTGTGGATTTGGGGGTGATGTTGTCGGGGGGCTGTTAAAGCTACCAAAGAAACTTAACATGTAGTAGCAGAAATGAAAATAGCCATGTGGAAACAATTAGGAAAGTACAATGAAAAATGGAACTTAACTTGCGTGCTGCAGGGTAACATTGAAACAGCCTGGTGAACGGGCATAGTGAGGGAAGGAGAGACGAAGCTGAAGGGTGGCTGCAATCTCATCTGGGGAAAAGGTGGGATGTGAGGGAAAACTGGAGGAGCCAGGGGAAGGTCGGGAGGCTGGAAGGCGCATGCTCACGCAAGGGCGGTGCTGGGACTGGGGTCATGAGGATAAGGGGGGAGGAGCTTTGACAGACGGGGAGGAGCCAGATTTCACGTAACTCTGGGAACCAGGCAGAGAGCCAACTAGAGACGTTAGGCCTGTGTTTCTCAAACTTCAGTTACTCGTAAGTTTAGAGCATCTTCCTGGAAAGTCAGTGCTACACAGATATTAGGGGAAAATCATTCTCTAACTCCTGTGCGAAAACAAACATGGAGATATTTGGGGGTAGAATACAAAGTTGGCATGTTAAAACAATAAAGTAGGCATATTTTAACATGTTTTGGCTTGTTGCAGATCACTGGAATGACACCTTCACACTCCCAGGAACTGTCCTTAGTATGGTGTGTGTGGATGGCACAGTTGGAGAACTTCTTTAGGCAATAGGAAGTGAAACCTCATTGCTCCAAGTTATACCCTGTGCCTGGAGCATCTTTTCTGTCCCCTGCCCTGAGCATCTTCTGGTCCCCCTCCAAGAGCTGATGTGACGTCCTGGACTAGTGGAGGGAAGTGGTCATTTGTCGTGTTAGTATTGGTCCATGCCGAAGAAGGCATTGTTGCTTAATATTAGGTGATAGGCCATTTGTGTAGTCCTTTGTAGGTTTATTTGACATTATTCTCAATAGCCTCAGAAATAACTATTACTCTGCTGTGTAAATGAGAAAATAATGGGTGGCAGGTTCTGTAAACATGTTTGTTGACTCCTTTCAGGAAGGCTTCTATGTGAGAACGTGGATCCTGGCGGGCAGTGGGTCCATTCAACAGTTGTATTTAAAGGTGCAGGCCTTCGAAGGGATTTCATTGCCACGTGTAATCTGCCAGTCTCACAGAAAGCATACTGATCTTCTTAATTCAGTTCTCCAAACTTCTGTCAATTGGCACATTGCTGGGCAATATTTAATGACAACTTTCAGTTCCATATTTCTTACGAATAATTTAACTGAAGCCCAACAGAATTTAGGTGGGCAACTTAATCTTGCAAATCCATGTCTGTCTCTCTCTTTTTCTTTTCAGATTATTCACAATGCTGGCTCACTAATAAATAGAATCATGATCTGAACCAAGAGGATCGCCTGCTTTTATTTAGCAGGGCATTTTAAATAATAAAATATTCCTGACTGTGTTCAAACCTCATGAAGCCCTGTTTCTTTTAATGCCAACCTACTGAAGACTCATTAGTAATTAATGAAATCATGAAGAATGGCTCATGCCGACTGACACCTTCTTGGCAACCACAATCCCCTCTTGTACTTAGTCGAAATGCCACTGGCTCCACAGGTTTGACGTGGTGGGTGGTGTGGGTGGGCGGAGGGGGAAGAAATTGGGTTACATGAAGTTTCACAACAACCATCATCTAGAACTGAAAGCTGTGCTTATGTTCCTCCAAGGCTCTCTAGTGGGGAGAAGTTTTCTGAAAAATCTTTCATTCACTCAGTGCCGTTTTGCAGAAATCCTGCTAATATCACATTTTCACTACGCTGGGATTGTGTGGTTCAACTCAGTTAGCAAAGCCGTAGTGTTGAAAGTCACCCTCTTTATTTGCCTCCCGTTTTCACACACTTCCTTCTTTCTTGGCACTGCCTAGATTTATTCTCCTCTTCTCCCTTTTAGGAACAGAATTTGGCATAAATAAATGATAACTGAGAAAGTGGCATAAACAGAAGAGTAAACACAGGGTTTCTCCAGCCTCCCACTGTAGGTCAGGGTAATTTGTTGTAGCAAGGGGTTGCCCACAAGAAAGATGGCAGTTTTAGCAGCTGCTGTATAGTTTGTGTTTTAATAAAAAAAATTCTTTCCTTAATTACTCAAAATGGAACATGAACCCCCACAAGCCTTTCAGGCTGCTAATGCCCTGAAACTGTAAAATCCAAATGGATGACTTCACCAGGGTACTGCCCACAAAATGGAATTCGGTACATTTCATACTCCAATGAGTTTAAATTGTATGGAGCTGATATTTAATACAAGTGCAAGTACCAGCGGAATCTGCATACTTAATATGCATTCTCCAACTCCCAGAATTAAGCAGGTGATCTATGGGACACCAAGGGATCATCCTTCTCTTGAAGAGAATATTTTATGACTAGGCAGTTTAAAAGGCACCGACATAAACAACTGTTTTCAGGTCTCTTTCTCTCTCATCTTCAGAAGGCAAAAGGTCCATGTAAAAACATGCTGTTTTAGACAACGCATTTTAGAAAATCACTTGAGATGTATTCCTTTTTCTTATAGGACAATTGAACCTTTGATAGGTGTTAAAGAGCATCCTGACAATTTAGTTTACTTCTCTTGTTTTTTGGAGTGGGGAGAGGGGGACAGAGAGAGAGCGTGAAGGCCTAAGCCCAAAGTCTGCTTTTTTGGGGGAGTGGAAATCTCACTGCTTAACTTCTGAAAGTGTTATTTATGGTTTTTACACCATGAGTGAACATGCCAGATTTTCTGAGACAGTGTCAATCTTAAATGAATAGCTGAGTTTAATTTTACCATTATACCTTTGTCAGATTTTTACCTAGACAAATGAATGAAACAGAAACAAATATTTTGCTCCATCCCCTTGTCCTAGTTTTTGGTTCCTAATATGTGGTTCTCCTTCATTTGGCCACATTGATGTTTGGAAAGCCATTATGGAAATGACTTAATTTTTTGGAGGCATATGCCTCAGAAATAAAATGTGCATCTCACATATCTTATTTCCTTCAGATGCTTGAGGGAGAAGGACAGCACTGAGTGAAGAGTTGCTTCATTTTCTAGTGAGAACAAGGCACCAGGAGCTTGGGGGGACTTTCTAGCTGCAGCAGTCACAGTGCTTCGTCCTGAATTTTTACCTCCTGGACCTTAGGGTGGGTCCCTCTGGGTCCCTCCCTGCACTGCCCAGCTGGATGAGCTATCACAGCAGAATGATAATTCTGTGGGGGCTCAGAGCTCTGCACACTTCATGCTTTGAACTGGGTTTTATTAGTCAGCCCACTTTTCCAGTGCTCAGTGCTGTCGGTGGAGTTATAAAGATATTTGTGATACTGGTTCTGTCCTTATATTGCTTGCAATGTCCTTAAGGAAGCCAGACATGTATGTATGAAGCAGAAGCTCACCGGACACAGCAAAGGGAACATGCCATTTGTTTCCAAAGATGCGGACGATGATAATGGTTGCAGTTGTGCAAAGCCATGGGGGAGGGCCTGCAGCTGAAGCCTGGACTCAAAGATGCGAGTGAGGATCCTCGGAGGAGAGTGCAAAAGATTAGTTTAACTTATCTGAAACTTGATATTCTAAGTGCTTTTGTTAAAAGAGTCCTTTAAAATGGTTTTTTCTCTAAAAAAATTCAGCAACCAAATAACATCCTTTCTATGTCATAAAAAATACGTTAAGGGAAAAAATGTGAAAACTTATGTTTTATGATTCTCTGGTGAACAAGGCAAAGCATTGAAACCATTCCCACCCCTTGATGAGCTCCATCTCTGTTCTCTTGCTTCGGCTGCTGATGTAGGTCTAAGCAATTTATTGAAGCTTGGTCAGAATAAGAGAAAGTGAGGTTCTGAGCAGAATGCTTAGGCTCTGGAATTGCCTGTCTCTCTGGGCCTCCCAGTGAGAATAGTGAGGACTTCCAGACTTTCATTGGCTTTAAGAACAGCTCTTCTCAGACTCTGAATAGGCTGCAAAGGGAAAACGTCTTTGCAGGTTGGGGGCTTAGGTGGAGCATGAAAGAAGGAACAGATGGATAAAAACTCCAGGGATGATGCATAATATGTCCCCCCAAATAGTCTAAAATGACCTTCACATGCCCTCCAGGGTGGCCCCAGGAACAATACCCCTATATTCCTTCAGCTCTTACCTTGCTTTGCTTCCCAGAGCTAGTCTGACACAGGCAAAACCCCGCCGTTCTATTTCTCTGTGCCCTCAGGAGTACGCACCAGTTGTTGGGGGTTGGGAGGGGGGGGTGGATAAGGCCAGAAAATTGTTGCTATGGACTCTGTTTTGTGGAAGTTAAAATGCTGGAGCAAGAATCTGATTGCTTGATAGCTCCATCTCTCTCTACCCCCCCCCCCTTCCCACCCCTTCTCGAGCTCTCCCTCTCCACCACCCTCCACTTTTTCTACTCTGTCTTCCTCCCTCCGCTGGACTCCCAGTCCTGCCCCCACACCGGCCGGAGGACAGCCTTACAGGTTGTCAATGAAACATGGAATTATTCCCTTTGATGGCTTAGATAATAGTAGGAGCCAAAGCAGTGAGTGAGGTCGGTTGAAACCAATGCAGTCCTGCCCGGGACTGGAGAGCCAATCGCAAGAGCAGAGGGCGGGGCGTCGGCGCCAGCAGATAATTGCTAAGTGCATCGCTAGCACAGTTGGTCGGAGCTGCTGAAAGGTCTGGTCGCAGGAACGGGAACGCGTAATCCTCAGCGTGCTCCATCCCAGCAGCATCCTTCCACGGCTCGGCAGGGCAGCGAGCCTCCGGGCACCAGCCCCTCTGCTCCGCGGAAAAGGTACTCTTGCCAGCGTCCCCGGGGTGCTGCTCCCGCGCTTCCATGCTCGGTGGCTCGCAGTTTAGCCTATGGAGAGGGAATGCAGAAAGAAAAGTTTAGGGGAGGAAATTTGGCAAAGGTGGGAAATCACCGTCTTTTGTTGGGAGGAAAAACAAGCTGACAATTTGGAAAACTTCTGCGTTGCCTTAACTGGGTTTGTTTACTACTCTCTCAATTAGCTGTGCTCACGTCTGTGGGAATAGGTCTGGTCTTGGGCTAGGGTGCCTGCAAGGTTGGGGTGTAGATTCAGGTTAGTTGGGTGAAAGGGAGTTGGACCTCTGAGTGTGCTGCTTGCTGGCGGACCCATCCTTGGGAGGCTGATTCTGAGAAACGTGATTGGTTGGCTGGGTTTTCCGCCATAAGGTCGTCCCCCTTTCCATTACCTTCACCTGTCTTCTCCCAACTGTTGTGACCTTCAACTTGAGTCCTTCTCAAACTTCTGTCTCTTTCCCACCTCTCACTCCTTGCCCACTCTTTGTCTGTTCATTTCATTGGTGGAAGGGGACATTTCCTAAGGTATGGGCATCTGTGTGTCACACAGCTTGGTGGGTGGCCAACAAAACAGTTCTCAGAGGAAAAGAAATTTCTTAATTGATTAGCTCCCGGAAACTTGGGAAGACTTTCCAGGTTTGGTGTGTGCTGAAATGAAGGGGTTGGAGCTAAATCTTATCTTACGTTTCTACCCTTATTAGACAAGGGCTATTCTGCGGTAAGCAAGCAGCCGCCCGGGGAGGCGGAGGCTGATGGCAGGGCAGGTTCCTGGGGGCTGGCTCTGTTCAGGTGCACAGGTATGGTACCTTTGTGGCCCCCGAGTTTCTGGAGCTGCCAAATGACACTACTTCTGATGGCTACTCTTCAAGTAGGAAAGCTCCTCAAAGCAGGCAGCTGGTTCAGCGTGGTAGTCCCTTAGTGTCCTCTCACGGTGGGACTAGCAGGCCTCACTTGTTCTCAGACCCACTTTTGGCCACGAGGGAAACTCCTTTTCCCGGAGGTGGGCCTCCTAGGAAGCAGGGTCCCCACGGGGGAGAAGGTGATGTGCTTGGTCTTGAATGAACTTCACTGCCCCACGTCACTTCCCCAGGGCTGCCCTCTGACCTGCCGATACCCAGGAGCTCCCAGTGCAGGTTGACCTCACAAGTCCCTAAGGCTTTGGGGAATTCAGGTGAACTTTCTGACTCTAGGTCTGTCCCAGACCTGAAGCTGGGGAATTTGACCCCCAGTCCTGGCAGGAAGTGAACTTTCTGGGAGGGATACTCCGGCAACACCTTTCCCAGTGGTGTCACCCTTCCCACTGGGTGCAGGTGACAGCCTCCATTCTCCGATGCACACATCACTTTCACTTTTCAACAGGTTAAAGAAACGAGGTGGTTTTCCTCCACCTCATGTAGGCAGCTATCTTGGGTGGGAGTTATTATTGTCGAAGCTCTACCCACGATGATTAAAAAAACAGCTGCCTATTTTTTTTTGTTAAGATACAGTCAGCTTTCTCTTCTGCACATGTTGTTTGACAGTAAACAAAACAAACTTGCAGTCCCACAAATTATAATGCCTTTGTGTTCAGGAGCCAGGGGTGGACCCTGGACCTTTGTTGGCTGCCTGCTATAACTGGCCCCAAATCTCCTCTTCTGTGGTCTGTCTAGGGCGTGTGGTGCCCAGCAGGTGGGAGATTTTGAAAGGGGTCCCCTTGGCTTCCACGAAGACAGTGATAAAACTAGAAAATACTTTTGAGTTTGAGGGGGTGTTTAGAACCAGGAAAGGGTAACAAAATTGGGGTCCCTTTCGTTGATGCTGACCTGCTGGGTTTATGTTGTGATCGAGGACATTAAAAGTAAGATTTTTAAAGCAGCTTCTGAATGGTGACTCATGCAGAGAGGAAAAAGGCAGGCTGGGGGCAGGGAGCAGAGGGAGCCTTGAAGTACAAGTGGGACACGCCGGAGCACTTGCTTCGCTTCCCTCTCCCTCCCCCTCATCTCTCTTCCCTTTAGTTCCCCATTTGGAACAGAGATCATTAAAATAACAACTTCAGACTAAAAGAAAAGCATATTAGGAGCTGAAGAATAATAGACAAAATGCAAAATACTATCTTTGCCACCTCCCCTTGCTTGGAGGGGCACCACACCCAGATCCAGCCCCTCTGCCGTGTTCCAGGCTGGAGAACTTAATCGCTGGGGCTGGTGTTGGGCTGATTAGTTGCTGTGAAGCGAGCACCTGCTTGTGTATGTAGGGCCCAATTAGTGCTCAGGAAGTTAAATTTGTTAGTTGTTATTTCATCAGACATGGTCGCTTTGGCTGGGACCCTAGAGAGGCATCATCCATAGATCAAGCATTTTCTCCTCTCACCGACTGGCCAACTAGGGGTTCTCTCGTTTAACCACTGGGCTCTGAAGGGGTTGCCTCTTTGTGTTTTCGCAAGTCCTGGGGGATCTACCTGGCAAGTAAAAGTCCCTTCCTTACTCCCTGCCTGCTCCCTCCCACCTCCTTCCAGTCAGTCGTGTCCTTCATCATAAACACGTCAGTAAATAATCTCTTTGCCACCCTGTTTTGATCTTGTCATGTTGTGCTGATACTGCTGTTAAACAAAACTGTCCCATAAAATGGGATTGAAAACATATTAGAATTTTTATCAGAAAAGAGCCTTTTAGACTTCTATTTTAAAATTTAATTTTGTGGCTCGGGAGAAATCAAATAAGCACATTTATTGTGTTAGGTGTTTTTGTAAACACTGTTGACATGTTTTCTTTTTCTCCGGTGGACGTGCGAACTCCCTGGTTATCCTGGGGAGGGGCGTGCAAGCCTGCAGGTTTGAAGTACTCTGGAGGGCCCCGAAGGGCAAAGAGGCTGGAACATAGAGCTTCTGTTTATTCAAGACGGGGTGAAGGCTGTTTTGAAATATAAGCTCTGAAATGTCATAAGTTCGGTTGTTTTCCCCTTCATTCTTCACTTAGGGAAATTTCATAACCAAAAGTATTAGTAAATAGTTCACCTGAATCACTTTTCCTTCCTCCTTCCCTCCTTCCCCACTTAGGGGAGCAGGTAACCTGAACAATCACACTTCATCTCAAATATTCTCCCCTTCTTCCTTCTCTTCTGGCTCTTTCTTCCTGTCACTTAAGGGTACCCTAGAGGTTGCAATTTAGTTTAGACGCCCTGCTCACCTCATATCTGAAACAGTTAACCAGGGGGAGTCAGGCGTTCTGGGTTGCTTATCGGGCGGGCCCTGTGGGAGCAATGAGGTAATTCTTTCAACATGCTCAGCTCCACACAGACCTCCCATGAACACCTGGGGTGGTGCAACTCCCCTCTGCAGGACAGGCAGGGGAGATGTTTCTAAGCATAGCGCTGTGAGATGCAAGACTTTCCCACCAGGCACAACCTTCAGTGCTGCACGGTCCTGCTCACCCTTAGCCCCCGTGCACAGGACTGACCTTGAAAACATTAGCAGGCAGTGAAATTTGTCTGTCATTTTCCCAGTGTCTTTGTCCTTTATTCTCATCTCACCCCTAAATTTCTCTATCAAGGGTTGGAAAAAAATAAAATCTACTCATTGATACTAAGATGTGAACAGTTAGCACTGTTGCCACTAACAGAGGTATTTGATTTCTGAGTAGATATTGAAGACGCTCGTAGTGAAGTTTCAGGTATCTGCTAGTGGGGTTGGAAAGACAGTTTGGCTAGGAAGTGTCTGAGCAACCGCGGCCCTTTGCTTTTCAGTTTAGGCTAATCCTGCTTGTCCCACATCAAGAACATGCTGTAGCCTCTCATTGCGTTGTGGTGGCAATATTCGGGGTCCAGCCCCTGGAGCATGGTCCCTCAGACTTGACCTTGGTTGCTTGCTGTAGTTCCTTGCTCTGTCTTTCAGTTCCCTCATATGTAAAGCCAGGGGCTCAGACTAGTTGAGGTCTTTCTGCTCTGTCTAACCTTCTCTCTGGATTTTGTCACTCGAGTCCTACCTCCAGCTGGGGATGCTACAGCTCCAGAAGGACTTGGAGCTCGCTGAGCATCTTCCCATGCAGACCACAGTGCTCAGGGGTGCTTTCTGAGCTTAGAATCCATGGAGGCAGGTCAGAAGGAATGGTGGATGTGATACCAGCAGAAAAACAGGCTGTGGGGTGATGTAATAACTGATTCTGGTTTAGGAGGGGATGTTATATGGAGGATGGCGACCAGCTGTTCTCCATCTCCAGTAAGGATTGAACGAGAGAAAATAGACAGAAATTGCAGCAGATGGACTTAGATTAGGTATGAGGAAGAATTTTCCATCAGCAAGAGTTGTTAAAAAGGAAGGTTGTGGAGCCTCTGGGATGATCTTTAGCAAATGGATAGGCAGGAGATTCAGCTGGAGGAGAAGGCACAGAGGAGTAGGAGGGGGTGAGTGGCAGGGGCTGTCTAGTCCAGGGATTCCTCCCTTTCCAGTGAGGGCCCTTCTTTATTTCTCTGAGCCCTCCCCTTCACTCTGGGGTCCCAAAGTGGCTGAGGCTCACTGGGGAATGAGTGGGGATGTGTCCCACCTGCGCTGCTCTCCAGGCTGCTGCCTTGACTGGCAGGTCCTGCCCAGGGCTTGAGGATCTCTCATCAAGTCTAATCTTTCATTTCCAGATGGGGCAAAGGAGGCCCAGAGAGGTAACAGGCCTCGGCGTCCTTGCACAGTGACCCGATGGCAGAGCTGGGACCAGAATCGAGGTCCTCCAGCTCCCAAGTCATTGTGGTTTGCTTTGTAGCTTATTCTGTCCCTTTGCTTCCAAATCAAAGAGACCGTTTGCTTTTTCTGGGCTCCCAATTTTTCTCGAACCGAATGGCAGAGACGGGGACACCTGCAGTTAAGCAGTATTTATTGAGTGCACATTACTAACACCACACACTCAACTCCCTGATTTACACAGTGAACTGTTGAGGGCCCAGCAGAGGACGGGCTGCTGCCAGGGGAGGTAGAATGCAGGCCTGAGACAGGAGCCAAAAGGAAG